GGAGGGGGTGAAGGGAGGGCAGGGGAAGGGGAAAAAAATAAGAACCAAGATACTCATGTAATGGTACAAGATCGCAATGATGAATGTAACTGTATTTTATACTGAAAATGTACCAATAAACTTAATGGGGAAAAAAAAAAGAAAAACAACGAGGGTGTGTGTTAGGTCTGGGACATGTGAAGTCTACGTATAAGATAAGTGCATGGATAAGCGAAGATCAAATGATAGTTCACAGGTAGTAGGACTTTCAAGAGATCCTGATTTTGGATTTGGATCCTTTGCTCCATAAAGAAAGAATGTATTGTAAATATATATTGAATGTGTGGGTGTCTATACATAATATATATATATTATATATATTGCTTAGAAAGATGCACAGACCGCAAGAGAATGGGTGTAGCAAACTTGGACTGTATTCACTAGGCTCTGTGAATAAAGAGGAAGCCTCTACCATGAACTTGGAGTGTTCTGTGCCCTTGGTGAAACCTACTGTTACTTGGTTGCCTCTGATCACCTCCATCTGGAGCACTTAAACATTGAGTTTATTTAATTTGTCTTGCTGGGATTGGTCCCTGCTATAGAGTTCAGAACTTCCTATGAGTTTCATGGAATGGATTATTTTAAGAGATTACATTTTCAGCTTCGTAGTTTATGTCTGTGTTTTTTGTAAAAATTAGTCTGGCTGAGAATCCATTCATGCTGCCCTTTAAAACATACTCTTTTCTCCTTTTCCTGTCCCCCTTTAACCCCTTTTCTTGTAATACTTTGTCCAAAACAAAACTCTGTGCCTCATCCAACATTTTATTGTCAAGAAAGTGAATTTCTCTAGTGTCTTCATAAAAATCCCCTTGCAAATCAGATGGTTTCCAATGTCTCTCAGCAAAATCTGTGAACCAAACCAAGCTGTCAGTGCTACAAAGCAAAGGCTTGTTGCCCGAGGTGCACAGGGGACAATATTTAGGCACAGGATTTTTCCAAGAAGAAAACCTTTATGGCATAGCCAACCAGCAGTGAGTTTCAGAGCTATAATTTCAGATGTGTGTTCTCATAGATTATTGGGGAAATTTATAGGGAGAAGGGAAAAGCTACTTGACTTGATGGCAAAAGGGGTGGTTTTACAGTTCAGCTGGCCTTCTAAATGGTCATCATGTCTCTTCACAAGTTGTATGTTTCTTTGGGTGGGAATAATGAGTTATATTCTGTGCATTGATTTTTGAGAAGTTTGTTATGTGCAATGATTTGATCTAATAAGCTGGCCTCTTTGGCTCATATCCATTCTTGAAAAGCCTATTTCATACTGTCATCAGTAGATTGTGAAGGCTTCTGAAACGCAACTTGAGCACTTCATTATTTGAGAAACTTGTGTCTAGGTGGATCTGGCTTTACTGATTTTATCAGCTGATCATACACAGTAAATTTTGATGACACATAACAGAGTTTTGTATGAGTCTTAGACACTTTCTCATTGGTAGAGCAAAATACCTCACACCCACAATTTAAAGGAAGACAGTTTTATTTTGGCTCACATTTTCAGTTCATAATCACAGCCTCCAAGGCAGGAAGTGGATGATGAAAGGGTCTGATGGAGGACAGCTGCTCACATCGTGGTGGTAGAGAAAGAAATGGGGAGCTGGGGAGAGAGATACACCCTTCCAGGTCATCCCCTCAGTGACCTGCCTCTTCCAACCAGGGCCCATGTCCCAGTAGCACACTCAGTGGCTGAACTCACCAGTGGACGAATCCACCCATGAATATATCACCCTGATGATGCAAACACCCTCCAAAAGCCCCACTTCTGAGGGGATGAGAGTTTGAGGGGACAGTCGAGATCCAAACCATGTAAATTCAAAGAGTATTGTAAGAATTGATTGACATTAAAAAATCAGTCCCTTCCACATGGGGAGAGTTTTCTCAGCATTTTAACAAAAAATGAAAATATATAATTGGCAATGAACAATAACACCTTCTAGCAATAAGTAATAGCCATCTGTGAATGCATGAACTATTGGGAGAGTGAGCTTTTTTTTTAAGTTTCTTGGTCATAGATCTGATATCTGGCTGAAGGGTTCTCCATACTGACCACCTTCTTTGTTTTCAGAGTCTGTATCAAGTAGCTTCCTCACATCTCCGTACAGCTTCTTCTGTAAAGAATCCAACAGAAGCTGTAGCTCAGACAAAGGTCTACTATCAAGAATATATAAAGAACTGAAAAAAATCAGACCTCCCAAATTCAAAGACCCAATTCAAAAATGGGC